AGGGAGGAGGAGGAGGAGGAGGAGGAGGAGGAGGATGAGGAGGAGGAGGAGGAGGACGGAGGGAGGAGGAGGAGGAGGAGGAGGAGGAGGAGGAGGAGGAGGAGGAGGACGAGGAGGAGGAGGAGGAGGGTGACGGAGGAGGAGGGTGACGGAGGAGGAGGAGGAAGAAGAAGAGGAGGAGGAGGAAGAGGAGGAGGATGCCGCCGCCGCCGACGCCGCCGCTGCCGCGCGGCCGCCGCCGACGCCTACGCCGACGCCGACGCCGACGCCGACGACGAGGACGCCGACGCCGACGACGATGACGACGACGACGGGCGCCGTCCGCGCGCGCCGCCGCCCACAGCTGCGCCCCGCCTCTCCAGGAGGTCCCCGGAGTGGCACCCCTGGGGCCTGTGGGTATCCATGTGCACTCACATTACTGTCATAGTCCTCTTCTTGGCGTGTAGTTGGGAATACGCCTATACATCCTAAGTGCTCCGCACTTAGCGTGTATCCTGCAAGGTCGGCTCTCAGTGTGTATCAAAGGGCTGTTGCACCCGACCCCACTTAGCGTGTACGCCCCTGCGCTGCTTAGCGTGTCAACGGCTTCGCTTTCGCAGGGCCCGAAATCACAGACACGCTAAGAATAGGACCATGGCCGTATATGCCGACGGATTCCCTTGGGGAGTGCCCTTGAGCGTTTTTGGGGGAAACCAAGCGATTTCGCCAAGCTTCTCCCCGACCAGGTTGGGTAAGGAGTTCGCAGAACAACGCCGGCACTACGTGGCGTAGGGAGTTTGATCTCATAGCGTGTAAGATGAGGTAGAGGTGGATGCCCTGTCTGATACGTGTCCTTTGTCTACCCTGTCTCCTCAGTATGTCTGATCTGTCTCCTCTGTCTTTTCTGCTCACCCTGTCAACTCTTTCTACCCTGTCCACTTTGTCAACCAGACCAATGTTGTCTAGTCTGTATACACAGTCTACGCCATCTGCCCTGTCTATTATGTATACGATCTCGATATTTCTCCCTACTGTCTACTCTACGCCTTCTACTTCATCGACTCCCTCTCCTCTGTATACTTTGCATTATCTGCATACTCTCTCGACTCGAGCTACTCATTTATGTGTCATTCTCCCTCACCATACTTTTCTCCTTCTGCGTCTTTTTTCCCATATAGCTTATCTATCTATTCAGTTTACTCTTGCTATTCTGTGTACTGTGCCTGCTCGGCGCACTGTGCCCACTTTGCCTATCACGTTTATCATGTCTAGAACGTATACACAGACTGCTCCGTGTGGTCTTCCGAATCTGTGTACGGTTTCAGTCTTTTTCTTCCTTGTCTACTCAACGCCGTCTACTTCCTATGTGTACTTTACATTTTCTGCATCGTCTCACGGCTCGGCTGGCTACTCTGTCTACTTTACCTACCTCGCACACGCTTTCTACTATGTCTGCTCTGTCTGCTACGGCTACCCTGTTTGTTCTGTCTACGCTTTCTGTACTCCGGCTACTCCACCTGCTTTGTCTATTCTGTATGATCTACCCTTTCGGTTCACTTTGTCTACTATGTGTATTTTCTCGGTTCCCCTCTCTACTGTCTCATCCGTTCCGACTATTTTCCCTATGCTGTCGACTATGTCTCCTCTGTCTGTGCTGTGTGCCTTTTCTGCCTTCTCTACGTACCCTGTTTCTCTGTACCTCTGCCTCCCCATCGCGCCTCTCCTCTTATTCTCCCGATTTACAGAGCAGACAGTTGACAGTGTGTGCAGGGTAGGCAGAGTAGATGGAGCAGACCAGATCAGACAGAGTAGACAGGGTAGATCGAGTAGACAAGGAACATAGAGAGACCAGACAATGTGTAACGAATAGACAGGGTGAAGAGAGAGAGTGCGGAGTTGAGCGAGACAGAGAGAGAGAGAGAGAGAGAGAAAGAGAGAGATGAGCAATCATAGGGAGAGCAGGCATAGCATAAAGAGAATACAGAGCAGAGATACTAGGCAGCAGACACAGTACGCAGAGCCGGAGGAATAGCCAGAGTAGAGACAGAGTAGAGAGAGTAGAGGAGGAACAGGGCAGTTAGAGAGAGAGAGAGAGACAGCGAGTAGATAAGGAAACAGAGTAGACAGAGTAGACAAACTAGATATAATATATATTCTCCACTGAAGGGCGACCAGGCGACGAGCAGGATAAGGACGAGGAAGGCGAGGAAGAGGAGCGGCACCAGCAGCAGGAAAAGTAATAGTGGGCACAGCAAGACGCACCCCTGCAATGGACCGGACTAGAGTACGGGCGATTGTGGTGGTGCGTTCTCGGGCTTCCTTCCTGCCTCCTCCAAGGAGGCCCGCCTACCTACTTTGTCCCCGCCACCAACGGGCTCCTCCCCCCTCACCCAGAGATGCCTACCTCATTTTGTTCCCGCCATGAACTAGGCTTTCCCCTTCCCTCCCTCCCAGGGGGGCCTACCTACCTACTTTGATCCCGCCACCAACTAGCCCCCCCCGTCCCCCAAGGGGTCTTACCTACCTACCCAGCTCCCGCCGCTGACGAGCCCCTCCCCCTTCCCCCGCGAGGCCCACCTACCTACTTTGCCCCCGCCGCCAAATAGGCCACCCCTTGGCGCCCCTCCTCCTCACATCCCAGATTCACTGCATTGAGTGAGGTGAGGAGAATAAGGAGGAGGGAGGGGGGTTGGCGGCGGGGGCAAAGTAGGTAGGTAAGCCTCCCAGGGGTGAGGTGGGGGAGGGGGTAGTCGGCGGGGGGGGGGAAAAGTAGGCAGACAGGCCTCCCTTTGGGGTGGGGGTGGGGGTGGGGCGAGCTGGCGGCGTGGACAAGGGAGGCAGGTAGCTCTCCCCGGGGGGGGGAGGGCTAGTTGGCAGCGGGGACAACGTATGTAGGTAGGCCTCCGGCCGCCCTGGTTTTGGGGGGGAGGCCTAGTTTGTGGCGGGGACACAATAGGCAGGCAGGCCTCCCTGGGGGTGGGGGAAGGCAACGACTCTCTTCAGAAAGTGGCCAAGGGCACTCCCCAGGGGAGTCCGTTGCCATCCAGATGTGCCGAGTCAGCTCCTTGTCACCGACGGTGTCACTGCAACATGCACTCTCTGTTTGGGGGGAGGTATCGATGAACCTGAGGACTTGTGTTAGCCCAGAGTCTGTTTACCCCCTTTCAGCTTCATTGATAGCGCGCAGCCTTTGTCGGCGTCGTGTTGAAGGGCTTGGGTGGACAAGCGTGCGTTGGCGCTGACACATGTTCTGAGGATAATCTCAGGCCTTCTGAAGTCCCTGGAGGTCCCCAGAGGCATCAAGGGGCCTGCGGAGGTCTCCCGCGGGCCCCCCCTCAAGTGCCCCGCGCGTCCAAATAGCTGGACGGAGGTGGCGCGGAGCGCGCTGGACGCAGGGGGGGCGTGGCTCCCCCGAGAGGCAGCGGTGCGGACGGAGGCGGAGGCCATGCGTGAACGCGTAGATCAATTGTCTACGACAGCAGAAAACGCTAGTGTCTATCTCCAGTGATATCGAGAGCTTGTTGCACGCGGGGGTCTCTGCGTTTCCAGTTCACCGCCTTGAGCCCGTTCACCCCTCCCGCGGCTCCACCACCATCCTCTTCTGTTCTCCCTCCTCCCAACCTCCTCCCCCTCCTCCTCCATCTCCTCTCTCCTCCCTCCGCTGCCTCCTTCTCCCCTTCCCCCCCACCTTCCCCCCCCTCCTCGTCCTCCCTCGCCGCCGCCGACGCCGCCGCTGCCACCGCCGCGGCCGCCGCCGCCGCCGTCACCGCCGTCGTCGTCGTCGTCGTCGTCGTCGTCGTGGTCGTCGTGGTCGTCGTCGTCGTCGTCGTCGTCGTCGTCGTCGTCGTCGTGGTCGTCGTCGTGGTCGTGGTCGTCGTCGTGGTCGTGGTCGTCGTCGTTCTCGCCGTCACCGTCGTCATCGTCGTCGTCGTCGTCGTCGTTGTTGTCGTCGTCGCCGTCGGCAGGAGCACCTGGCGGGCATCGAATGGGGCAAGGGAGCCGCCTCTGCACCCTCGCAGACGGGCCTCCGCGGTGGCCGAGGATCCGGCCCCCCGCCTGGAGAGGGCCCGAAGCGGAAGGCTCCTCCTCCGCTTTCTCGTCGTCGTCATCGTCGTCGTCGTCGTCGTCGTTGTCGCCGTCGCCGTCGCCGTCGCCGTCGCCGTCGCCGTCACCGCCGTCGCCGTCGCCGTCGCCGTCGCCGACGCCGTCGCCGTCGCCGTCGCCGTCGTCGTCGCCGTCGCCGTCGCCGTCGCCGCCGCCGCCGTCGCCGTCGTGCTGTCCGCTGTCCGTTGTCCGTTGTCCGTTGTCCGTGGTCCGCCGTCCGTCGCCGCCGCCGCCGTCCGCTGTCCGTCGTCCGTCGTCCGTCGTCCGTCGTCCGTCGCGTCCGTCGTCCGTTCGTCCGTCGTCCGCCGTCCGCCGTCCGCTGCCGTCGTCCGTCGCGTCCGCCGTGCGTCGTCCGTCGTGCGTCGTCCGTGGTCCGTCGTCCGTCGTCCGGCGTCCGTCGTCGTTGTCGTCGTCGTCGTCGTCGTCCTCGCCGTCGTCGTCGTCGTCGTTGTCGTCGTTTTTGGCCACCGCCGCCGCCGTGTGAGGATCGTGCTTCTTGCGGCCCGACAGTGGTGCATTCCAGAATTGTGCCCGGTGCATTTCGCGATTCTGCTGGCTCTCGAGGATTATGCGGCCCGGGGCCAGGCAGGGGTGTGTCCCGGGGCAGTTGCAGGTGCATTCCGCGTGTGCTGGCTCAAAGATGTTGCGCCCTGGGGCCAAACCCAGACCCTCTCGCGTCGTGGAAAAATCTCGCCAGGAGTTTTGATTTCACTTTTTCAGCCTCTGGGGGCCCTCGCCAGGGCCCAGGACCAGCAAAACGAATCGGGACGACGTCGGGGATCTGTGAAGCATGCATTCCGAGCGTACCGTCTCGAGGATCGCACGTCCTGGGGCCCGGCAATCGGACGGCGCGTTATCGGATATGCTCTGAATTCGTTCTGTTTTAGAGTGCGCGCCCTTTCGGGAGCGTTGTATTTTACCTGAGTTTCAGATTGCATCCTCGCATGGAATTCCGAAATCGGCGGAGGGTGGCCGAGAATAGTCTATTCCTTTTGTAGAAGTGGCCCGTTCGTGGCCTCGCAGGCCACCAGCCATGGTGACGAAAGGGATCCCTGTGTTTGCTGGCTCCACGGGCTCACGGGTAGAGCCTCTCGTGTTTTGCGTGCCCCGAGGCGTACGGATGGATGGAGCCCTTTGTGTTCTGTGGGGTGCCGAGGCTTGGAGACGAGAGGAACCTTTTTGTGTTTTGTGGGTATCGAGGTTCATGGACGGAAGGAATCCCTGTGTGTTTGTGGGCCCCGATGCTTGCAAACGAAATTGCCCCTTGTGTACCGTACGTTCCGAGGCTCACGTGCGAAAGGATCCTCCGTGTTTTGTGGGCCCCGGGGTTCACATAACTAGACGAGAGAAGGTTCTTGCGTTCCGTAGGTGCCGAGGCTTACGGCCGAAATGCCCCCTTGTGTTGTGTGTGGTCCGATGCATGCAGGCGAAAGGACCCCCTGTGGCTTGTGGGTCCCGAGGCTTACCTGCGAACGAGATGAGACCTTGCGTTTTGTAAGGCCCGGCGGGCGAACGGATGCCACGTGTTTTGTGGGTCCCGAGGCTGTTGTTACGTTCCGAAGGCGTCCTGTTGAACACTTGTTTGCTTGTGGGTGTAACAACAAACAAACGTCATAAAAAAACACACATCGTGCTTCCGATAGGGCCCTCGCGTGGAATTCTGAGGTTCGGCGAAGGGTGCCCGAAGTGACCTGTTAATTTCATGGAATTTTGCCAATTCGTGGCCTTCCGCGCTTCCCCCCGCTTTTCCGTAGGGTCATGCCAGGCGACTTCCTTTCGAATCACGCATGCACAGACGCACTTGCTGTTTCATGCTCAGGCCCACTCACGCGCAGACTCACCCGTACCCAGACCCTTCTACTTAGACTTACCCGCACACAGGCCCAGTCATGCTCAGGCCAGACCCACTTACATCCAGAACCGCTCACACCCAGCCACACATACTCATATTCACTTCTGCCCAGACCCAGCCATTTAGCACTCGAGCTCAGACATCCACTCACAGATCAGACTCACTTGTTTCAGAACGCTCGTAAATGGACCGGCTAATACTCAGATCCATTCATACGAAACCACTCGTACTCATATTCAGTCCCATTCAGACCATTCAGACCCACCTGCATTCAGTCACCCAGTCCCAATGTAATTCACAATCAGACTCGCACATGCCCAGACATTAAGGAAGGAACGCGCTAGGACATATACGCACATACGGGAATCCCCACGTCGACAAATTAATAGAAACGCAACAGTGTGACGACGTGTCCGACGACGCGAACAGATAGAAGCCTCCTGCTGCGTTGAGACCGAGGCTTACGTACGGAGGGGCCGAGGCTTACTTACGGACGCAATGAGTCCATGCGTGTTGTGGATCCGTTGCTTATGGAAGAACGGACCCTCTGTGGTTGGTGATGTGCGGGCTTTCGAGCGAAAGGAATACCTTTGCGTGTTGTTTCCTTTATGATAGAAAGCACTTTGTTTTGAGCAATTGTCAGAACTTTCATTTGTTTTTTTCTGTCTTTGTTCATTTTTTTAGGTAGTTAGTTTTTTTTTGTTTTTTCTCTCTCTCTCTCTCTCTTTCTCTCCCGGTATATATATGTATATATATATATATATATATTGACATGTCTGTAAAGAAATCTGTTAACCAGCGTGGACCCCAAACAGTATGTTCTTGCAGTCTATGCGGTGCAATCTATGTGGTGCAATCCACTCTCCTGAACTTGAAGTCGTCATCTCCACTGCTCGCGCAAACATCCCACCCACCCACCCGCAACTTGGTTTGCAATACCTCTTAAGACCGACTACGATGACGCCGACGACGTCTCCGACGACTTCGACGACGACAACGACGCCGACGCCGACGACGACGACGACGACGATGCCAACGAAGGCGACGACGAGGGAGGAGGAAGGACGACGACGGCGACAACGACGACAACGACGACAACGACGAGGGAGGAGGGAGGACGGCGACGACGCGAACGACGAAGAAGGAGGAAGGACGACGACGCCGACGACGACAACGACGAGGGAGGAGGGAAGACGACGACGACAACGATGACGACGACGGCAACGAAATAGGAGGGACGGCGACGAGACGCCGACGACGGACGACGACGACGACGAGGGAGGAGGAGGAAGGACGACCACGGCGACAACGACGACAGAAACGACCACGACGCCACAGAGGACGACGACGACGAACACGAGGAAAGACAGAGGACGACGTAGGCGACGACGACGACGACGACGACGCGGGAGGAGGGAGGACGGCGACGACGACGACGACGACGACGACGCAAGAGCGCGCGCGCACGCTTTTGTTGAAAATCCGTGTTGCGAAACCTTGTGTTTTTGTAGGTTTTTGGACGCACGATTTTGAAATCCTTCCGAAACCGGTGGGTTTTGAAGGTTTTCGGCATAAGCGCGCGACGACGCGCGCGTCTGCGCTTCGTCCAATTTTTTGCAGAGGATTCTCGCGACGGCACACGCGCAAGGGCGTTCGACAGATTTCGACATGCGCGCGCGCGAAGCTCGTTAGATAGCATTTTGTGAAGATCTTGAAAAACCTATGGTTTTCTTAAGATTTCGCAAGAGCTCGCGCGGAAGTTTTTTTTGCACATCTGTGTTGCGAAACCTTATGTTTTTGAAGGTTTTTTGGACACACGATTTTGAATCCTTCCGAAACCGATGGGTTTTGAAGGCTTTCGGCATACGCGCGCGACGACGCGCGCGTGTGCACCTCGTCCCATTTTTTGCGGAGGACTCTCGCGACGGCACACGCGCAAGGGCGTTCGACAGATTTCGACATGCGCGCGCGCGAAGCCCGTTTGGTAGCATTTTATGAAAATCTTGAAAAACCGATGGTTTTCTTCAGATTTCGCACGAGCTCGCGCGGAAACTTTTTTAGCAAATCAGTGTTGCGAAACCTTATGTTTTTGTATGTATTTTTGGAAACTCGATTGCGAAATCTTTCTGGCACTGAAGGTTTTTGAAGGATTTCGGCATGCGCGCGACGACGCGCGCGTGTGCACTTCGTCCCTTTTTTTGCAAGGGATTCGTGAAACAGTGTTATGTTAGAACAAACAATGTCACCGCATGGTGTTTTTTTACAAGGGAACCTCAGGGGGGGGATACCGGCCTCCCGGGGATAGTGTACATTCATATTTAGGATGGACATGTGGTCAGAATCATTTATGATTTACATACCCGAAAAATGGGACCGATAACTCCGGGGGGGGTAGATCCTATTCTGTTTTTAGAAAGGAGAATGCATGCGATGCCCTCCCATCTAGTCGGGAGGGCAAGTTACCAAACAGGTGCCCCTAGCATGGTGGAGGAGCATGGACAGAGTCAGGCATCTCTGGCCGGCAGGGCCTGCCTCAGTATTCTCGTATGCGTACCGAGACGCGGCACCCAGGTGCTAGCCTGTGCATGGCCACCGGCGGAGCATTGGACTCGGCACAGTCATGGTAAACTGGCAAGAAAAGGGGTATGAGGAGGAATAGTGGGAGTCCCGAGGAGCAGCAGAACGAGGGTTGTGAGCATGAGGATGAGATGGGGGAGGAGGGGTGACGGATGAGGAACAAGAAACAAGCGCCGTCTCCGTCCACCTTCTTTTTTCCCGTCCCTCCTCCCCCTCAATTTTCTCCTCCGTCTCCTCATCCTCATCTTCTTCCTCTCCCTCCTCTTCTCCTCCGCTCCCTTCTCCTCCTCCTCCTCCTCCTCCTCCTCCTCCTCCTCCTCTTCTCTCTCCTCCTCCTCTCTCTTGCTCCTCCTCTGTCTCCTCCTCCTCCTTTGTCTCCTCCTCCTCCTCCTCCTCCTCCTCCTCCTCCTCCTCTGTCTCCTCCTCCTCTTCCTCTCCGAGCCCCTGGACCCCTGACGCTGAGATCTTCTCAGCGTGACCCACCCTCCGTGAGGTGTCGATTCTTTCCCAGGGACCGGCGTGCCCCGTGGCTCGGCGGGGCCCTCAGAGACCGAAATTGGACAGAAACGTTGAGCCGTTTTTGGTTGCTGTTTCTGTTGGCACGACGCGGGGGGCTTCTGGGTCCTCCTTCACCCTCCTCGATCCTCGATCTTCGAACCTCGGCGATCCTCCTCGATCCTCGATCCTCGATCCTCGATCCTCGATCCTCCTCGATCCTCGACCCTCGATCCTCGATCCTCGATGCCCCTCCCTCCCTCCCTGCTTCCTTCCCTCCCTCCCTCCCCTGCGCCCTGCTCCCGAGGCCGAGGCGGCGCCGCGTGGCCCCCGCGTGTCGAAGAGGGCTCGCAGGAGAGCCCTCGCCAGGCAGGAGTGATGAGGAGAAGCAGGTGGAGGAGGAGGATCGAGGAGGTGTAGGTGGAGGAGGATGAGGATCGAGGAGGTGGGGGATCGAGGAGGTGGAGGATCGAGGAGGTGGATGAGGAGGAATAATGAGGAATAATGAGGAGGACGTGGAGGAGATGCTTTCGACGAGGAGGAGGAGGAGAACGTGGAAGAGCGAGTCGATGACTTGTATGAGGAGTAGCAGTAGTAGTAGTAGCAGGAGGAAGAGGAGGAGGAAAAAGAGGAGGAGAAGGAGGAGGAGGAAGAGGACGAGGACGAGAGGAGATGCTGCTGCTGATGATGATGATGCTGATGCTGCTGCTGATGATGCTGCTGCTGCTGCTGCTGCTGCTGCTGCTGATGATGTTGATTATGATGATGATGCTGCTGATGATGATGACGATGCTGATGATGCTGATGCTGTTGCTGATGATGATACTGATGATGATCATGATGATGAGGATGATGATGATGATGCTGATGATGCTGACGCTGTTGCTGATGATGATATTGATGATGATCATGATGATGATGATGCTGATGCTGATGATGATGATGATGATGATGATGATGATGATGATGATGCTGATGATGCTGCTGATGATG